TCTGATTGTCCGGGAGGCCGGCTCCGTGCTCCCGTCACCAGGGAGCATGGAGCTGGCTTCCTGGCCAATCAGGAAGCCTAAGTGGGGGCAGGCAATGACCCGCCCCCTGGATTTCTGATTGGCTGGCAAGCTGGCTCCATCGTCACTTGGTGACGAGGGAGCATGGAGCCGGATTCATGGCCAGTTAGAAAGCCGGGCGGCGAGTAATGACTCGCTACCCGGCTTCCTTATTGGTCGGGGAGCTGACAAATCAGGAAGCCGGGTGGCGAGTCATTACCCGCCCCCTGGCATCCTGATTGGCCAGAAAGCCGGCTCCATGCTTCTTCATCACCTGGTGACAAGGAAGCATGGAGCCGGCTTCCCAAATAATCGGGAAGCCAGGTGGCAAGTCATTACATGCTGCTCGGCTTTCTTATTGGGACTTCCGGTATCGGCGAGTACCGAAAAAATAAATATCGGTACTTGTACTCAATACCGAAAAACCGGTATCAGTGCATCCCTACTCTTATATACTCGTATACTCTATATCTGTATGTCCTGCATCTGGGATGGAATATGTCCCAAAGCAATCCAGGGATCCCGCTGATCATCAGTCACAGTTCTCTGTAAACAAATCATTATGTAAATGTTCAGACACAGCGAGAAACGTGCGCAATGTGCCGGCTTTACTTCTCTCACCCATACCAGGAAGTGGAACATTCTTCATTAAATCTACACTCCATCCCCCCTTCAGTCTTCTATCTGACCTCCGGCCCCCCTTCAGTCTTATATCTGACCTCTGTCCCCCCTTCAGTCTTATATCTGACCTCTGGCCTCCCCTTCAGTCTTCTATCTGACCTCTGGCCTCCCCTTCAGTCTTCTATCTGACCTCTGTCCCCCCTTCAGTCTTATATCTGACCTCTGTCCCCCCTTCAGTCTTCTATCTGACCTCTGTCCCCCCTTCAGTCTTATATCTGACCTCTGGCCTCCCCTTCAGTCTTCTATCTGACCTCCGTCCTTCCCTTCAGTCTTCTATCTGACCTCCGTCCTCCCCTTCAGTCTTCTATCTGACCTCCGTCCTTCCCTTCAGTCTTCTATCTGACCTCCGTCCTCCCCTTCAGTCTTATATCTGACCTCCATCCTCCCCTTCAGTCTTGCACAGTTGTATCGGCTCCTCTCCTGGACTGAAATTGCTTCCTCTGATATCACTGCACACTGTGAGCTCCTCACCGTGTGCATTAGAAGCTGCAGCAAGTCAGAGCCGGCCTCATTTCCTGGCTGGAGGAAGTCCAGCATCATCTAGCACTTTCCTCCCCTACCTGAATGTCCCTGGCCCCGCCCATTTCATCATTGGATTTCAGTTGTATAATCTTGGAGGCTCAGCGTCACATGTGGGCGTTACTTAGAGTGGTTTATATACAAATACTGCCTGCCTAGGAACACTCACTCCTCCAGACTGACATATACCCATCAAGGCATTGTGATATTTGCATAACTCCTCCCAAGGGCCCGCCCACTGCTTGCATCAGGGCTCTTGAGAGAAGTACAGAAGCATGGTGCTGGGATGTTTGCAGGAAGCTATGTACAGCAGGCTCCTCCCACCAGCCAGCCATTGTATAGAGAAGCACAGAGAACCAGCGATGACATCACCGGGTCTAAAATAATGCAATGAACACAGGTTTTATTTGGAATGTTCCTCAGCATGTTGATGGGGACCAGGTCAGGCGACATATAAGCAGTTTAACGTTCCCGGATGCAGATTAATGTTCGGTCCGGGTGTCAAAATAACACCATTTCCCATACAGACCTCCGTGGCCATTGATCAGCGGGCCAGTACTGCTAACAAACCCAACCAATCAGCTCCCTTACTAGCAGCTCTGGGGGCCCAAGGTGAATTCTAGTTTAATCGGGGGCCCCGCAGGGACAACATCAGGTGAGATCAATGTAAGAATCACTTTGGCGGTAGACCCGGAGCCGCTGTGCTGATCTCTGCGGGTTAGAAGTCAGAGAGGCCTGCAAGTGTTCACCTATCCAACTGAATGAAATGACGACTTTCCACTGCTGATTACTGGACAATAGTCAATCGCTACATTGTTTCTGCTCTACAACATGACAGATTTGGGGCCCCGAAGGGACGACAACGGGTGATATCAATGTAAGAATCTTTACGGCGGTAGACCCGGAGCCGCTGTGCTTTGCTGATCTCTGGGGGTTAGAAGTCAGAGAAGCCTGAAATGGAGATCAATGTTCCCAATTGAATTAAAACAATGACTTTCCACTGCCAATTACTCTACAATAGTCAATTGCTACATTGTTTCTGCTCTAAGACATGAGAGATTCGGGGCCCCGAAGGGACGACAACAGGTGATATCAATGTAAGAATCTTTTCGGCGGTAGACCCGGAGCCGCTGTGCTGGTCTCTGGGGGTTAGAAGTCAGAGAAGCCTGAAATGGAGATCAATGTTCCCAATTGAACGCAATGCTGATTTTCCACTGCCGATCACTGGACAATAATCAATCGCTGCCTTGTTTCTGCTCTACAACATGACAGATCCGGGGCCACACAGGCAGCATTGTAGCAGATCCAGAGATTGATACCTACTTACAGGGATATGCAGCTGCAGATTGCTGGCGCCCCATGGTCAGCAGCATCTGCGTTGGATGATACGGGTCGCCGATGACGCCGTCACATTAATTGTCGCGGTCAACACGCTCTCAGCGCAGAGAACTGTAAACCCTGCAGCCCCAGTCCTATAAGATGTCCCCATCAACCTTAAAGAGACCTGGTCACCAGAACCTTCCATTCAACAACAATCTTCCCGTAGGATGATATGAGCATTTCCTGCATATGAGTTCCCTTGTCTACTCAGCCAAAGCCCCGAGGCTGCTGCTGGGGTCCGCCATCTTGGATGTGATGTCAGCAGACTCCGAGCTGTCACTCACGTGTAACGCTCCTGTTTGCTCCTCCCCTGAAAACTACATGAAAGGGCATGTATAGAAGTGAGGGGAGGGGCAGAGGAGCTTGGCCAGCACAGACAGCAATTAGATACTCCCAGAAGAGGAGCAGGCGATGATGTGAAAGGAGGGGGGTGGGGCCTGTGCTAGGGAACTGACTAGTCAAACGTTTTTGCACGTTTAAAGGAACATTGCAAGTGAATAAAAATATAATTTATGGGGCACTTAAAAGACTTGATTTTTTGGTGCCTTTACCTGCAATTTTTAAAGTTGGGAGACGGATTCTCTTTAAAATACACCCAGTTAGTGATCCTGTTACAGTCAAGAACATGGCATTGGGAAGACCTCCACGCAAGACAAAGAGGGGCAGTGAAGTGACATTTGTGGGGGCATTCGGGGCAAACTGGGTACAGGAAACAGCCTCAGGCTCCCTCATTATAGGGACGGCCCTGGGTGGAGACAAAATGTGGAAGACGCATATTCCAGTAGTTGGTAGATGATGAAGAGTTAACCCACCGGACAGCTTCCTCAATCTGTCCGGGTCTGTACACCAGCTGTGCCCATTATGAGGGGTCCCCACCATCCCTGTGCTGAGTCCCCGGGTCTGTACACCAGCTGTGCCCATTATGAGGGGCCCCCACCAACCCTGTGCTGTGTTCCCGGGTCTGTACACCAGCTGTGCCCATTATGAGGAGCTCCCACCATCCCTGTGCTGAGTTCCCGGGTCTGCCCACCTGCTGTGCCCATTATGAAGGGTCCCCACCATCCCTGTGCTGAGTTCCCGAGTCTGTACACCCGCTGTGCCCATTATGAGGGGCTCTCCCCATCCCTGTGCTGAGTTCCCAGGTCTGTACACCCGCTGTGCCCATTACGAGGGGCTCCCACCATTTCTGGACACACAAAGCTGGGCAGGAACATCCAGAACAGGAAATCATAGCAGAAGACTCACTGTTGGAGCATCCAAGACATAGAAGGGTCCAGAGGCCGACTCAGCCCACCGGCTCCACATATCATTTAAATACCACTGTCTGATGGACTGATTATATAACTCATGGCTTGACCAATCCCTGGAGTCAGGTTGCCAACAGCTGGCGCCCAACTTATGAGGTTTTCCCTAGTTTTTGCCAATGGAGCTGGCTCTGAAAAAATCCCACTGGCTCCTGGATTGGACGGAGTGGCTCCTGAATTAATTTGTCCACCTCTAATTTAACACTCACCCCCCCCCCCCCAAAGCCTAAAACAAAAACCCCTAACCCTACGCTAAACCCTAACACCATACTAACCCCTCGTCCTGGGTCAACCATACTAACTCCCCTCATATGGGCAACCATGCCCAATCCTCACACTTGTGGCCACAACCAAGACCACTGATGAGTTGTACTGAAGCGGACAATGCTGCGCCTAGCTTCAAAAGTCAACCGCTCGGTGGTGGAGTCAACCGCTCGGTGGCCGAGCTACAAATCGCTGCGCCGTATTGGACGCCAATCACTTTTTCCTAGCAACAAAACCATACAATAGCTGTTACAAATTGCTTTGCAAAACACATTTCCCGCAAGAACAATCCCAAATCTGTGTCGCCTCTACGAACGTGAAAAGCGAAACACCAACTAGTAGGGAAGACGCTGTTAGGGGCACCCAGGGATGCCAGGAATGCTCACCAAGTAACCCAAGTCCCCAGCCAGAATTCCACACGCAGCCCGGCCACTTCTTGTTCACTAACAAGAACCATGTGCAAAAGAGAGCGGAAACCGAGTCCAGCAAGTCTCCACACTGGGATAATTGTATTACTGCAGCCCCGAGCGCAGCCTGCCTGACCCACACTGCAGAGCTCTAGCAAGGGAGGAGCAGGGGGGGCTAATCCCAAGGCTGGAGACCTACTACGGTATGAGTGGTCCGCTGCATGCCACCGATACCAGAGTGCAATAAATGCAGCATGGAAGGCTATCTATGTGCAATGCATTGACCCAGCATGTAATGATCCCTATGCAATGGGCACACAGACCCGCCTGCCTTCTACAGGTATCTCCACCCTCCCTAGTACAATGATATGCCATCCAGTTACAGTACCTGTCCCAGGGGTGTCAGGAGCCCAGGTGCCAATCACAGCTGCTCCAGCTCCTCTGCTTCTACAACTCTGCTATACACAGACACAGCACCCCCCTCCCCTCCTCCCCCCAGGGTAGGGGCGGTCCTGCAAAGCATTATGGGAGGTGTAGTCTCTTTCCCCTCCCTCTTGCTTGCATTACCGAATAGCTGGAATTCACATTACAATGTTGTTTATGAGATGAATACAATGTTCTGTTTATTAATCATCCATCACGGGTTACATTGTAGCAATATTCTGCCGATTCTTCCTTCTCCTGCTCTCAGCCAATGGCTGTTTGGGCTCAATTTAAAAACTTGTTACTGTTTAGCGCTCATGTACAATGGAGAAGAGCGTATTTCTGCGGAATTTTTTGTGCACAGACCCGCGTGTTTTTCTACGTGCATTAAGGCCAGGTTCCCACCTGGGCGTTATTCAGCGCTGAAAAAACGCTCAGCAAGTGAAATCCCATGAATCCCTATGGGCATGGTTCCCACCTGGGCGTGTTTCAGGCCGTGGAAACGCGCTACGCCCAAACAAGTACAGGAGCTTCTTTGGGGCGGATTTCCGCGCGTATCCATTGTTATTCCCGAGTGTGGTTCGGGGTTAACAAAGCGGTAACCCCCGAGCCACACTCGGGAATACAGCGTAGGGCTTACCTTGTCCGCGATCCCCGCTGTGTCCTCCGGCCGCTGCCGTCTTCCGTCCCTTGAGAGCGGCCGCGTCGCAGGGGGCCGAACCAGCGGGAAGTTTGATAGTTAAAAAAAAACCCCGAAAAAAAGATAGAGAAAATAAAGGGAAAAAAAAAAGAAAAATCATACCGCCAGGGAGGTATAAAAATATGAGCGTGGAACGCGCGTTTCACTGAACAAAAAAACGCGCTGAAAAACGAGCAGAAAAAACGCGCCTATAGTTCGCACAGGTGTGAACCCAGCCTTAGGCCCCGGTTCACACCAGGGCGGATGCGGTTCAGCGCGGTTTCGGCGCGAATTTTAAAAGGGTGGTCTTGGGCGTTTCAGCACTGAAACGCCATTAAAGATGCCCAAAACCGCACTAATAAGCACGGTGCCTTAGAAATCTATATGGAAACCGCGCTGATCAGCGAGAAAAAAAGGCTCAGGGAGCATTTCGGGCGGCAGGCAGTCCAGATCGCGCAGTCGCATGAACGGTCCCCATAGCAATGTACGGGATCGTTCACGTCGGCGGGTCAGCGCAGACAAATCCGCATGGTCGCCCTGGTGTGAACGGAGCCTAAGCGTCAGGCGTTTTACATTTTTAACAAATGGAAAGCGGTTTTAGAGGATTGGAGTAGTCGATAATTGCACGTTTACCCGGTCTACACCTGCACATCGCAGGAACACGCGTCCTGTTCATGCGCACATTTGTTTGTCCGCACGTCCCCATTGATTTGATATACGCGTGACAAACGCAGCAGAAAAGCTCATGTAGTATTTCGCACGACATGCATTTAGTGATTTCTGCTTTCGCATTTCTGCGCGTTTTAAACACGCATACTCACGGCTGCGTTTGGGGTGCCATTAACTAGTTATGGCAATGCAAATGCATTTTCGATGTCTGTGCGCATTTAGCGCGTACCCGCAACGACTAGGTGTGAACCGAGACGGGTCTCTCTTTATGTCATAGCGCTGTACTATGTCCTCATTCACACCGAGGAGTTTTGTCACTCAAAGCTAAGTGCAACAGGACACTGAAGGCCAGGAATCTTAGTCATCTCTATGGCCCCCGCTCACAGCTGAGCGTTTTGTTGCAAGAAGAAAAACGCATGTCGCTGGAAGTAGTGCATTAGCTACTTTTTGGCAGCGTTTTTTGGTCCCATAGATTTCATTGGAAACTTTGTGACAAAACACACAAAAAAAATGCTTCCAGGCTTTCATCATGAGGGGTCCCCACTAGATATGTGCACAGGCAAAAAAAAATTGTTACATTACGTTTTCGTTCGAATTTTCCGTTATTTCGTTTTTCGGGGATTCGCGTCCGAAAGTCAGTTCGTTTGGGGATCCGGACGAAATTCGTTAGCGCTTGTCTGTACGAATGTTCGTTGCGGCAATGTGACATTAGACAAAATAAAACTGACAGTCTGCAGAAGAGAAAAAAAAACGTGATGCCCCCCCCCCCCAAAACAAATACCAACCCCCCCAAAACGGGGGGGGGGGGGAATGTAGGGTCCCCCTAACATTCTTACCAGACCCTTGATCTGAGTACAGGCCCAGCAGGGCAGGAAAGGGGGGCGATCGATTGCCCCCACACACACCTTACCAGGCCACATGCCCTTGGCATTGGGAGGGTGTCCCCATGCCGATGGGGACAAGGGCCTCTTCCCCACAACCCTGACCTGTTGGTTGTAGGGGTCTGCGGGCAAGGGGGCTTATTTGCATCGGGGTACCTCTTTAATTGAGGGGGCACCCAGATGCCACCATTAATATAAAAGGGTTCCCAGCAGCCATTTGTCGGTCTATGTTTGGGCAGTTAATGGAGAGCGGGGAGTGGTAGTTGCTATCTGGTGCTGTATCGCCCCTAATAACAGTGGATTGCAGTGTGGTGGGTGACATATTCTTGCGTGCAGGGCTGTCCATATAACGAGGAACCTGTTGCTTCAGACAGCATCTCTTTGGGTCACGTGGGGGGCGGCAGGCAGAGACTTCTGGCCCTTTTTCGGCCAGAGTGTCCCAGGTTGCTCAGAGCCGGGCGGGGGATGTGTAAGGACCATAGACATCTCCCCTCTCAGCAACCTGGGACTCTCTGGCCGGCATCCTCCCTGGCTCCTGGGAAGCAGTGATGTCAGTGAGCTGGGCAGTGCACCCTCAGGACGCCGAGCAGAGGACCACTTAGGTGGCATCTATGCTAGGGACACCTCTGCTTGCATTCCCCGCCCCCATGGTCACAGTTCAGAGGCCCAACTGTCTTTTCTGGGTTTGCCTTTTTGCCTGTAGTTGCCCTGATAGGCTATAATACATG